GATTGAAATTGATCACTTCTTTGAAATATGAAAAACAGTGATATCAGTATTAATTTTTATATGCGGTGTTCTTAACTTAGGTCTTCTTTGAGATACAGTAAACACTGTGTAATTCTTTTCTCTTTATTTCAAAGTGCTAAAATTAATGGAAAAAGGAAGGAAAATATGCAAATAAATACAATTATATATATTTCTATAGATTTGCATGTCTTCTAATTCTACAGCAGGTAAAAGTGATTTATTACAGAAAACCATGGAAAAGGACATGTTTTACATTTTCTTTAAAGACTTTTTTTGGCAACCAAATAAGAGTTTCAAGATAAAAAAAAATCTGAGGTTATGTGTTATTTGAATACCGCAAAGCACACAAAAGCTTTCTGCCTATGAGAAAGGATGTCTCTTTCTAGAAAACTTTATAAGCAAAATTGGTTTGCATTCATGTTAATGGGAAAAACCATGAAAACAAACGATGTAGGCTGGCCAATCGATGGGCTTGAACGCAGGTCAAAATACCAGGTTTCAGCAGGTTTAACCACTTCACTATCTGTTAACTGAGGTATAGTTAAAAATATTTAAAATTCATCATGAAATGTTTGCCAATATCATTATTTTCCTAACTTCAAATTAAAAAAAAGTCTATTTAGAGAAAGATGTTATTGAAACAAGAAATAAAGACAAACAACTTTTACACAGCAACAACGAAGAAGCATATTATTATGATGAAATATTTAAGATTTTTCATTTTCATAGTACATTTTGTTTTCAGATTTCTATAATAGAATTTAAAAAATTCATTATTGAATTCAAGATACTGGTGGTTCCTATGTAGACCTAATAAAATTTTATACTGTTACATTTAAGACTTTATTCATTGTACATTTATTTAATATTATTCAATTGCTTAAATCAGAAAAATAATGTGAATAAATCATACAGTTCTTTTTCTTTGCAAATGTTTTATTTAGCCACTTGTAATTTTTTTTTTTTTTTTTATTCTGATCTTTCACCTATATAAAATATAATTAATTTCATTAGAAAAATCTTCCATGAAGACACTTCTCTGCAAGAAAATAACATTCACATACTTTGCTATATATATCACAATTGTTTTGTAATTGTACTTTACTATTTTATTTAGTTTAATTTGCCAAAATAATCACCCCTTCTGTCAAGACCTTACATAAAATTTATGTGCAATACATACCTTCCACATAACATGTCCTGTGAAAAAAAAAAATATAGCTTTTAAAAGTTTTATATCAGTGTTATAAGTAGCATATAATGAGATGTGTTATTTTGGCTGATCTTTGGAATATGGTAACTCGTAGTTTGGCGACATTTTGGAGGCGATAAAGGTTTACTACCTAGGACTTTGGTAATAATGTGAGAAGTACTCAGTTCCGATTACGCATTATTTTGTGTGAGGGAAATGAGAGATCATGAGATATGTCATGTGACATTAACGGACAAATTACAGTTCTTTAATCGGAAAAAGGGGGGGGGGAATCTGGAAATTTTGTATTTAGCTTTATTCTGTGTTGTGTGAAACAGTGTTGGTTAATTTTTGGATCCCATGGCCGTATCTAAAGTGAATTTGAAATGGGTATTTAGTGGGATTTAAAGGGGTGTTTCAATTTAGTGGGATTGAAAGGGGTGTTAAGTGTTTTTTTAAGGTTGTGCGAGATAGAAGTAAAGATTGCTTATTAAGTTTTATTAAGTCTGTTTGGAGGATGAAGGTTTTCAACATCTTGCTGTGAACTATAAGTATGATTTTAAAGATCCTGAAACAGGCGCACATACGATTGCTTTTTATTTAGCGGAGGAAATAAGAAAAGTGTATCCGCCACGTAATCAAGATTCTGAAGAAGATTAGGTAAGTTAGTATTTTTAATTATTTGAGGATATTATTTTTATGCATTGTTCTAAATGTAAGGAGTAAATAAAGTAATTGTAAGCTAATTTTTATTATTTAATGTATGTGCTTATTTGTATTTTAAGTAGTGTTTTTGAATTTTATTTTAATTAAATGATAGTTTATTTTGTGAATTATATGTTTGTAGAATTTGGTATACGTTTGAGTGGAAATAAACGTGCATGGAAAATTTAAATATTTGACACTAAGTATTTGTAACCATTTTGTAATGTTTGCGGTATGAATTCGTTGGGTGACGTTTATAATATAGATAATTTAGAGGTAAAAGTTTTTGGATATTTTATTTATTTTATACGTGTAATGTTCATCTTTGGAAAGGGTATATACTTTTTCGCGATCAGGTAATTTCATATATGTTCTTTTTACCGGATTTAAAGATTCAGAAAATTGTCATGCATTTTCGTGAAATGTTTCTAATGTATGAGAAAAAAGCAGTGTACATGGATATAGTGAAGAGTGTGCGCAATGCCATTTTTGTGCAATTCTGGGATGATTTTTTTTAAGTAAAAATAATCGACGTTGTACATGGTTTAGTGATATTTTAAATAATGATAGTTATTTTGTGAATTTTTATGTTTTAGGAACTTGGTATACGTTCAGTTGATAATGTGCATGGAAATAATTTAAATATTTGACACTAAGTATTTGTAACCATTTGTAATTTTGCAGTATGAATTCGTAGGTGACGTTTATAATATCTAGATAATTTAGAGGTAAAGTTTTTGGATATTTTATTTATTTTAAATGTGTAAATGTTCATCTTTGGAAAGGGTATATACTTTTTCGCGATCAGGTAATTTCTATATGTTCTTTTTACCGATTAAAGATTCAGAAAATTGTCATGCATTTTCGTGAAATGTTTCTAATTTATGAGAAAAAAAGCAGTGTACATGGATATAGTGAAGAGTGTGCGCAATGCCATTTTTGTGCAATTCTGGGATGTTTTTTTAAGTAAAAATTGATCGATGTGTACATGGGCAGAGCCAATGTAGTACGCAATGCCATTTTTGTGCAATTCTGGGATTTTTTTTAAGTAAAAATAGATCGATGTGTACATGGGCAGAGCCAATGTAGTACGCAATGCCGCGGTTGTGCCCGGTGCCTAGTTTGTGCAATTCTCGGATTTTTTTTTTTTAAGTGAAAATAGATCGATATGTACATGGGCAAAGCTAATGTAGTGCACAATGCCGAGGTTGTGCACGGTGCCTAGTTTGTGCTATTCTCGGATGTTTTTTTAAGTGAAAATAGATCGATATGTACATGGGCAAAGCCTTTATAGTACGCAATGCAGAGTTTGTGCAATTCTCTGATGTTTTTTTAAGTAAAAATAAGTCGGTGTGTACATGGTTTATGTGTATGTGCTATTTTGAAAAACGTGCAAAGAGTTTGTGATTGTGCACTTTTTCCCAATTTTGCAGTTAATATTTGTCATGATTAAGCAGTTTTGTTACATAAAAAGTGTAATTTGGCTAGTAGATTGTTGGAAAAAGTGTTGAGTAAATTAAAAGAAAAGAAACATGTCTTTACTTCGTGAAGACAAAATGGCGGAAAAAAAAAAAAATAAGAGGGTTGCTGAGCAGAGTTGGTCGCCAAAAAATCGCCAAGTTACCATAATCCAAAGTTCAACCTTTATTTCTTTTTAAAATAAATATAACTAAACATGTATCAAAATTTATGTGTTATTTCTTTTTAAAATAAATGTAATAAAATTGATCAACATGTATAAAAATTTAAACAGCTCAGATTTTACGATTTTTCAATTTTTTAAAATATCACATATTCTTTTAGAAGACACATAGACTTTAGGACTTTTAGACATCCTAGAATAATGCAATTTTATATATACGTAATGCATTCAAATTTAAGAACAAAATGAATTCTGATGTTAAATAAAAAAAAACCAGTTATTTATAAATTTAGTTAATATATTACTCACTTTATGTACAAATTGTGAAAACACCTTACCACCATCAAGAATATAATTTTTAAACGAGTTCCGTAAAAAAAAAAAAAACCCTATGTTTACATTATTATTATTTTTTTACTTCTTTCTCAGTAAATGAAGCATGTTAAGTATCTTTGATGATATTTCAGTTATTCTTAAGATACTTTTATTTGTACTAAATTTGGTATTATATAAGTTTGAAAGCAATTAATGCAAATTTTTTCAGAACTTAAATTATATGAAGATAGCTGCTTTAGCATATATGCACAAAATATTACAAAAGTTTCAATTTTTTATACTTCGAAACACTATAATATGTACTCTTTTTATTTATATTGAGTGAAGAAAAATCATAGTGTTTTAAAAAAGGGAATGTTCATCAAGATTTTAAAGAATACGAATGATTTCATGAAATTCTTTCTCATTAAAATATATTTAATCAATTATCAATCCTATTTGACAATTTAAGAATTTCAAGTTAAAATTTCAGTTTAGAGCCATGCAAAATGTAACCATTATACTCAAGTTTTCTCATAAAAACTTCCATCAAATATATCATGTCTACATATTTTACTTTTCAGAAAATGTCTGAAGATAAGACTTTTGCTCTACTTCCTTTTAAGAAACTATATTCACTTTACTTTTAGACATTACCTCACCATTTTGTAAATTAATGAAAATAGATCTAAAGAAAGTTCAGCACCTTATGGTACACTAAAAATTTCAAATGTAAAAATTAGTTTAAAAAAAATTAAATACTACCGTTTTTTACATTTATTTTTTAATATATTAAACTGCATTTTTAAATCTATGTAACATTTGAAATATGTTGCAAACTACATTCATGTTAAATTTTTTGGTGCTGCAAATGAAAAACTGATGCTATTTAATTTCATTCTTCATCTATGACACAATGAATATAATAATATATGATCTTAATTTTCTTTATTCAAAATCACGATCTGAGAGCGTCGACTAAAAAATGATAAAGTTTCCTTATTCTACTTTAACATCTTGTTTAATCTGACACATGTTCAAAATTTTAGCACTTATTTCATACATAAAATTAATTAGAACTGAAATACTAAGAACTACATTCAACTAGAAACACAATACCACATATTTACACAAATAAACTTTATTTTTCATCTAGAAATCATTCTTTATGGAATGCAGAATGAATAGTGACTGATGTTATACACTAATTATTCATGCAGTAAACATTTTAAATTTAACAGACCATTATAATGGTTATAACATTTAATAATCAAAGCTCATTTTAGTCACATTAGCATCATATTCACATATTTTTGCAAAGTAATCACTCAGCAAATTTTTGCAAAAGCAGCAATGACATTTATAGAAATAAATAATTCAGATACTTCAAACATTAAATAAGAATTTCAATAATCTCATAAATTTTTTTGTGCTTCTCGATAATGATATCACCTTCATAATTACCAATAAGTCAACATGTTATTTTGTAACTAGTGCAATTTTTTTGCATCACACTAACACATCTATACATGAAGACATTTACAATTTCTCAATTGTCACTGCAATAGGTATATCAAAAATTATTCTTTCTTAAAATAACATCTATGAGAATCCATGAGAATTTAATTTACAGTGATTAATGTACATTTATAAAAATCAATATCAATTCATAAAAGAAACTCTTTTTCAAAATGACTAGTTAACTTAAGCTTGGATAATCCAAATTCTACTACAAGATACACTACAGTGTTTCCAGAAAAACTACTCTACAAAATGCAGTTTTGTAAGTTTTCATCTTAATAAAAAGTACCACATAAAATTTTAATTCTTTTACTTTTTGTTTACTATTTACTAATAATCATAAGCTATTCATCACATCAATACTTCTGAAATTTCAAATTAATAAATTTTAAAATAATTAAAAATTAGAACATCAGTCATTTTTTAATGATCAAAACTACATAAAATCATTATACATAACCACTGAAATTCCATACCATATGCAACACTTGAATATGTATCTCCAGCAAATTAACAAAGACTATGCAAAGCTAATAAGCTATTCAATATGATCACTAGCAATTTATGTGCACTTTTAATATTTTCAAAGTAATCTGGTAATTCAAAAGATTTAAAAGTACTTAAAAATTATTAGCATTCTCAAGGATTAAGTATTTCTACTTATCCAAAGAAATACTTTATACTGATAGTAATCCATTAATTTTACTCCTTTCTTAAAACAGAATTTTACTACAGAATTAAACTCTTTCTTAAAAGAGAATTTTACTACAGAATTAAACTATCTTTTGAATATTAGAAATTATGGCATATTTACACTGTACTCAGAAATACAAGTACAATATTGAAAAGTAAACATTTTACAAAAAGTTACTTCTCACCATTTGAACTACACACTACATTACACAATGATTTCATAATGTAAAAATACTTCTTTAATAATGACCATTAATTCAATGAGCATAATTATGTGCGATATTTCGTTTTTCTGATATAAGACTTAGTACATTATCCAAAAAATTTCTCCCTTCATATTAAAACGACATTAAAAAAAACTCTAATGTAAAATTCTAAGCTTTTCATCCATTAAAGAAACAGCTAAAATTCTATTTCATGTTTTATAATATATTTTTGAATCAGGCAATAAGAGGCAAAATTTAAGACTTAAATAAATAGCTGATTATGAATTCGTTATATAGGTTTAATTCCAGTCACTAATAAATATTGTTCCAAGTCTAAAAAAATGACTAATAACTTAATCATGCACTTGTCACACTAGATTAATCCTCTCTTTCCAAGCCAGTACAGATGAGTGAATGATGAGAATGATATTCTTGTTATATACATAGGAATTTTTCGGTCAGACCTGATGGGGTTCTGGTATCTGTACATAAAATTTACGCACAAAATTCCAAAAAAACATCCTAAAGCACAGTTTGTTACGATGAATTGGCATTTACAGAAGCAGGCGTCTTGGACGTACTTGAAGAATCGTCACAGTCCTTAGAACGAAGTTTTCTTCGCAATTTTTCCACAACTTTGTTATGGAATTTGTGCAAAGAGTTCTGAGAGGCGGATTTTGGTGAAGGAATGTCTGACAGGCGACTTCCTCTTCTAGGTGAGCAACCGAGGGATATAGCAGCAAGACGTTCTTCAACATCGGAACCAGGAGAACATGAGAGACTTACTGGAGCAGATTCGCTTTGAGTGTGCCGACGTCCTGAAGTTACGGAATTGTTACTGCTTGTACGAGAACGACTGGCATAGATATTATAGTCATTTTTCATAACAGGCATCATGAACGCCATAGTAGAAATATATTCTAACAATCTGAAGAAAAAACTTGTCAGAAATATCAAAGTTTGTAGGCTAAATTTTTGTTTCAAACAGCAGCACGTACTTAAGTAACGAAGTTGAGCAGCACCAACAAATCTGACGTCAATACCAGCATGCTCCCAATATAAGCCGTCGTCTGAAGAGCAGCGGTCACGTGACAATGTCAACTTAAGGGTTGCTGTATCGAATCTCTTTAGACAGAATTCAAAGTCGCCAAAACCTAAAAATCGTTACGAAAAGCGCTACACACTCGCGTGGTATTCACTGGCAATATATTTCGAATGTTTTATCAATTTTCATCTTCCTCTGTGTGTAACTTTCCTTCTTCCCAATAAAAAAGATGATTAAGTTTACGTTTTAATGAAAAATTTAATGAGATGTGTAAATAAAAAAAAAAAAAAAATTACTATTCAATTATTAAATCAGAATTAAAATTATAATACCTAAATTTTAAAATTCGTGACTGTTCCTTTAAAAATTATAATAATAATATTCTATATTATTATTTGAAAAATTATAATAATAATATTTTTCTCCCTTTGCAAATTCTGTCTAACAAGCGGCCCGCCAACAGCCGAGCGATAAAGTAATTGTACACTAGTTTGACTCGGGTTCGAATTCCGGCGAATGGGCTGGTTTCATGCCCCCTTTCGTGGTGTTCTTCATGTGTAATGTGGATATAAGTAAGTTTCTCTTAGGAAGTTCTCCACGAAGGCATTCCTTCCCTTCAAACTCCGCAGCTTAAATGCTCAAAAACCTGAGTTGCAGTTTAGTGGGAACTACGAGAAGGAGAAAAGGTTTAAATTATAATTACCGGTTAATTAGCATTAAATACCTTACAAATTAATAAAAAGGCATTTAACGTACGAGTAGGGTCGGCGCTAGGCGTTTTGTCGTCCATAGCAGACAACAAAATTCCTAAATCAGAATCAGAATTTAGAATCCGCAGGATCCTAAATTTTGCTGGCTTTTTAAATTCTAAATATTTTGCCACATCTTGCAACTTCTAAATTTCGCTGCTCGTTGCTTCTCTAAAACTGTAAGAATTTTTCCGCTAGGTGCGGCTGCACTGTCTTTGGAGTTGGCCCTGCGTAAGGCCTAAAGGTTCAGAACTACAAAATTTTGCGAACATATTTTCTAGGGGTGCTCCTTTATTATGTTCGCAAATTTTGTTTATTTATTTTTATTACCAACAGTGCCCTTTCATTATACATGGGTTTCACAATTTCATCGCCGGTGTATAAATGTAACAATTTCAACATCCGTGTGTTAAGTAAATAATAAATTTAAGTCCTAAAAGGATAAAAAAGCATGAAATGAAAAGAGTTCAATTTCTTTATGATTATTGGATCATTATATTAGTAATTTGATACTCTGCATTTAATTTTCAGTTAATTAATCATTGAATGACTATTTATATTCGCTTGCAAGTAGAACCTCTGCACAATATTCCAACTATCACTGAATATGTATTAATTTTTGCAATTTGTGTTTCAGAAAGGGCGTTCTTTAATTCCATTACTTTTTATCCCAAAGAGGCAGTTTGCCCAGAAGGGCTATTAATTTCGTTTTGGCGTTTTGCGTCGATTCACTATAAAAGGCGAATAACGTTTTAAATTGTTGCCACCAAATATTAGAGCCCTGTATTATATTTAAAGAAATTAAATAATGAAGAATCTGCATAAAATGTATGTATGTTTCTCGCATTGTGATAAAACAACGGTGCCTAGAGCTATCGAATTTTGAATAACGTATATACGTTAAAACGTGAATAACGTAACGTGTAAAAGAGCATATGCATATATTCATGTAGATTCTTCATTATTTAATTTCTTTAAATATAATTTCAGGCCTCTAATATTTGGTGGCAACAACTTAAAAAATTAGTAAAGTGCCGTTTCATATTGGACGACGCAAAATGCCAAAATGAAATTAATAGCCCTTCTGGACAAATGGCCCCTTTGAGCTAAAATTAAGAAAATTCTTAAGATTAAAGCTTACTAAAATAAATGTTATTACTTACATAACATCTTGCAAGAATTTTTCAAAAACAAATGTTATACAATTGCAATGTTTCAAAACTTTCATGTATTGAAAGATAGTTACAGTAATTCACAATGACTAAACAAGAACTTACTTGAGACAGAAACCTTCATTTAACTGAAAATTAAGTGAACATGATATTTAATAAGTTAACACACAAAACGTTAAAAAACGCCCCTTTGGGCGAAAAATATAAAATCTGAAAGTTTGCAAACTTTTTTTTTTTAGTTTCTTTGGTAATTAGAATCTTACATAAAATGCCATTTTAAAATTTTATACAATTACTTTTTCGTGTATAATCACGATTCACATACTTTACCTCTAATTTATATATTTTTAATAGCCTTTGAACTTATCACTTTGTGTATTGACTGTTTTGCATCATTCTGAAAACTTTTTCACATACTGTATTATCTATTTTCCAAGTTAAACTAATTACTTATACTCACTTGCAAGAATGCGTGTCTGAATGAGGTTTAGTAATCATCTAAAAGAATATTTAATGTATGTCTGACAATTCATAGTTGTTGAATTGGTCGATCTTTAGCTAAAATTTGAAGTAATATAGCATTTGCTATCAGGCATTCTTAATTTTCAGTTAAATGAAAGTTTCTGTCTCAAGTAAGTTCTCGTTTAGTCATTGTGAATTACTGTAACTATCTTTCAATACATGAAAGTTTTGAAACATTGCAATTGCATAACATTTGTTTTTTGAAATGTTCTTGCAAGATGTTATGTAAGTAATAATATTTATTTAAGTAAGCTTTAATCTTAAGAATTTTCTTAATTTTAGCTCAAAGGGGCAATTTGTCCAGAAGGGCTATTAATTTCATGTTGGCATTTTGCGTCGTCCACTATGAAACGGCACTTTACTAATTTTTTAAGTTGTTGCCAGAAAATATTAGAGGTCTGCATTATATTTAAAGAAATTAAATAATGAAGAATTTACATGAATATATGCATGTTTCTCGCATTGCGATAAAACAACGGTACCTAGAGCCATCAAATTTTGAGTAACGTAGTCCTCCACTTGAATATGGTCATCTGTAAAAACAAATTTTGAATTTGTTTTATTATCTATTTCTTATTTTGTAAAACTTTAAAGAATATTTTACGAACAAACACACCGATTTCAAAGCGAGCAGTGGCAACACTTGTATGGAAGAAAACATTTTCATCTCCAGCGCGTGAGATTATTTGTCGGAAATTCTAAAGATATACTGTTTTTAAATACTTTTAACCCAAAGGCGTGTTAGTCCAATTGCTTTCGAAAAGCCTCTCGAAACGTGTATGCGTGTATAAAAAAAAAAAAAAAAAAAAAAAAAAAGCCTCTTTGGGCGTAATATAAAATTTGAAAGGTTTCATTTTTTTTTTTTTTTTTTTTACATACTGTTTATTGTTTTGTGAAAGCAATGAAATTTTAAACTAAAGAGGAAGAGCTATGAAAATTTTTAAACCCTGCCAATGACTTCTAAAGCTAAGTCTCTCTCACCATCATTATTAAACATCTCACATTCTATTATTAGCTAGCCTGAAGTCAGTGATTGTTCTTCCAAATTAAATGATAAAATCTACGAATTTCTGATAAAATTAAGGATCAATGAAATCAGAGAACAGCAATACAGGTTAGTCAGGTCTTGTAGTTTCTTCCCATCATCTGTTTAGTTGATTTAGTTGATTTCAAATCGCAGAATCGAAGAAGACAACTCTCATTAAGATCTTAAATATATTACTTTTGAAATTAAAGAGAATTCAACTTCAGTCTGAATGAAACGTTCCAACATTACTAAAAAGAAAGAAAATAACTTATATATGTTAATAGCAATTCAACAATCTGCACGTCCAATAACTTCCTCCTACCGTTCAACAAAAGAAGATCTAAATAAAACAACAGAAGAAACTATCCAAAAATCCAAGAAATCTGTGAAAATACCTATTCAGTAAAATAAGCAAAACCCTACTTTCATATAAATTGGAGGACTGAAGAATTACTCACTCAGAAACATAAGAGCATTGGAACAGGAAAGGAAATCAATTACTGATGAGGAATTATGATAACTAGCCTGGATTCATTTCCAAAAAGAAAATACAAAAAGATGATTCTCGAAGCTAAATTAAAAAGTTAGCATAATTATTAAACTAATGAAGAAATTCATTGCACCCTGTATAAAATCGTCTGCAGCAAAATAATCGTAACTCTGTCTTTCTAAACAATGATCCAACCGAAGATTTCTTACTCAAACTACTATAAACCGTAATTGCAATGACATTCCGCAAACAGATAACGATATCTCATTCTGAAAACAAGAAATCAAAGTAATAATTAAAAACCTAGCTTAAAACAAGTAGAGCACCAGACCCAGATGGCATCCATAGTTGCATTGTAAAATGAATCAGTTAAGCCTGTCCTGATATAATCTATAATTTTTGTAATCGTTGTATAGAACACTCAGCTTTTCCTAATCGCCTGAGACTTGGCAATACCATTTTCTTCAATGACGAGAATAAAAGCTCCAATGAACTCAAATCTTACGGGCCGATTATATCTTCTCCTAGCTTTGGGAAAAGCTTTGGAGATATGTCTAATTAACCATCTAAAATTTCGTGTTTAATAAATTTTGTTTCGTAGAACTTTCAGTTTTCTTTATATATATTTTGAATATTTTTTTTTAATGGCACTCTTTCATTATTTCTTCAAAATACATTTGTATATTTGAGAAATGAACGTCTATTTAATAACAGCCTTATCATGACTTTTTTTCATACTTTGCTAAAGAGCATTTGTCATTCTATAAAATGCCTGGACATTATATACAGTACTTAGGTAAAGTATATAATAATCATATTTTATGCTTCGCTTAAAACCTTCGGGCATTCTCTAAAGCGCCTAAGGTATTTTATAGAATGTTGGCGTTTCATATTTGCCGGTAACATATATATAAAAATTGCAATTTAAGAAGGTTAGGCCCGGTGACGCAGTGGCTAGCGCATCGCGCAGCAGCAGCACAGGTGCGGGGTTCGATCCCCGGGCTTAGCAAGGTTGACTCAGCCTTTCATCCATGGAATGGGTCGA